TAGGGATCAACATATATTTTTGCAATAACTTTTCTCCTGATTGATATTAATTAAAATTTTCTTTAAGGATTCATCAAATAAAGTGTTTTCGTTTGTCACAGTAACGATAAACCAAGTCACCTTTGCATTAATAAAGAAATTTGCCATTTTCCTAATAAAGGGATTTTTGACATTTGAACCACTAACACAAAAGTTCGAAAAAAAGACTGAAATAACAGTTTTCTCTAAAATTTTATTGGGTAACTTAAACAATTAATAATCCGTATTTCTATCGCGAACACTAACAACACAAGAACATCGGTTTGGCATACTCAAAATGAGTTCATCCAAATCACGCTGTGGAATGGCCGCCCATGTTCGTTGCAACAACAAAAAAGGTCTTCTTGCGACTGGATACCCTCCATATTCGGCAGAGCTCTTCTCTGTAGCATATCCCATGCATGCTCAATCGGGTTCAAGTCTGGCGACTGAGCAGGCCAGGGCAGGACATTGATGTTAGCTGCGGCGAGAGTCTGTCTTACAACTCTTGCGGTGTGCGGTCGTGCATTATCATGCATTAACTGAAATAAGGGACCGATTTGCACTTGTAGAGGAACGATGACGTCTGATACAATCGTCTCAGCATAAATTTGAGCGTTGAGGTTGCCTCTGATCCAAATCAACTCAGTTCTTCCGCCGATCCAAATACCCGCCCATACCATGATGGTTCCACCACTATAAGGATGGACTTCCTGGCAGGATTTTAATCGCTGTTGGCGTCCAGGGGTTCTCCAGTGTCGTATACGTCTTGTATCCGGTCTCATTCCAAAACGAGACTCATCAGAAAAGCACACGAAACGCCATTGTTCTTCTGCCCAATTTCTGTGTTCAAGAGCCCATTGATATCGAATCCTACGATTGTGCATTGCTATAGGTGGTACCCGTAGCGGTCTTCGGGAATGAAGGTTCACTTCATGCAAGCGGTTTCTGACTGTTTGGTCGCTAATTAAGTTCCCTGAAGAGTGATGAAGCCTCACGGCTAACATCATGGCGGTTATTGTTGGAGCTCTTCGAGTTAAGATTTGAATGTATCGGTCTTGTCTCCGTGTGGTGCAGCGATACCGTCCTCCATGGCGCTCAGCCACGGTACCAGTGCTTCGGTATCGTGTCCAAAGTCGACTGATAACACTTTGACTTGTATTCAGAGCTAAAGCCACAGTACGTTGCCGGGAACCAGCTTCTATCATTCCCATGGCTCTGAGCATTTCTTCCCTGCTTAAATGACGTCGCCGCTCCATAATAACGTTGGTTTTAATCAGTAGTAGGGAAACAGTAGCACTAATAATGTCTTCAATGCGTTGTATGTTTTTATAGGGAAAATATTGACAGCTGATTTTCATCTTTTACTCGAATTTGATTCACAGTTCCTGATTCAAATTATGAAATGCACCAAAAAGGATCCATATAAATTTATAAAATCATAAATTTATTACAAAGCCACATCTCAATCTCAAGAAATCCGCATAAAAATGCTTGATCCCTAGACACTTTTGATGTGTGTATATAATTTCTCTAGTTTTCATTTTTTTTTTAATTTTATTTGAAACAATGAAACCCTTAAAATACGGCGGTATACGGTGGTCTTCTGAAAGGTGGATATTACTTTCCCGGACGGGCACTTAAATTAAAGTGATACAAAATTCCCTTTGGCCTTGCTACTATTTTTTGAGAGACTGCACGTTTTGGTTTGCTCTTGTTTATGCGCTGTGTGACGTGACACGTATAGGGTGGTCTTCTGAAAGGTGAATATTGCTTTCCCGGACGGGCACTTAAATTAAAGTGATACAAAATTCCCTTTGGCCTTTCTAGTATTTTTTGAGAGACTGCACGTTTTGGTTTGCTCTTGTTTATGCGCTGTGTGACGTGACACGAGAATTTTATATATTAGATTGGTACCTACCCAAGTAGGGACAAAATTTTAAATAGTTTTTAATATCGTTGATGGGAAGGTATTTTAGTAAAATTCTTAGCGGTCATGAGGTGAATGAACGTATTTCTTTAGGTTTGTCAGGACTAGGGAAAACATAACTTTTCTCTATAATAAATTTTAACGCAGCCGTTTCAACTCTCATCACTTTGCTGGCCAAACCCTTTACCCCGTGCAGCCATAGACCTTACACATCAACAAAATACGACAATAACAACAAAAGGTGTGTTATTAGTACGTGTAAGGTATAAGGGCGATTTTCGTGAAATTTTATATGCATATTCAGTAGGTCTGAGAATCGGACAACATCTATTTTTATCCCCGTAAATGTTAAGGGTGCCACCCTTAATTTTGTTTTTGTACATTTTTTTTTTGTTTTTACTTTTTTAAGATACATCTTACAAAAATACATACAACCTTAAATTTTGACCCTTCTACCACCAACCACTATTTTTTTATGGCGGTATGAAGTTCGCTGGGACAGCTAGATCTACTATATTAGTTTATATAAATAAAAAGGTATAATTATTGATACCTTTTAAAACAGGTAGGTTCTAGTGGATTAGCCTCGGTACTTATCTGGGGAAGCAGTAGGTATACCAGCTGTGCGGAATTCGCCGGTGTGATATGAAATTATCGTTCTGATTTTGAATCACGCTGCGAATTCCGGGGTGAAAAGTAATTTGTTCTTACAGAATAGCAGAGCAGCTTAGGTATTCTGTCTGTCTCATGAATTTCTTAATAAATTTCAAATATATATTACTGGCTGTTTTAACAGACAGTGCGATATTTTGCCGTGTAATGGCGTAACGCATATTAAAGTAATGTCTAAAATGGAAGCTAGTGAATTCAGAGATGAGATTTTATTTTACAGAATCGCCCTATACTTTACACGCACTAATAATACACCTTTTGTTGTTACTATAGTGTTTTGTTGAAGTGTACGGTCCAAGGCTGCACGGCGTAAAGGGTTTGGCCAGCAAAGTGAAGAGAGTTGAAACGGCTGCGTTAAAATTTATTATAGAGAAAAGTTATGTTTTCCCTGGTCCTGACAAACCTAAAGAAAAACGTTCATTAACCTCATTTCCACTGACAATTTTACTAAAATGCCTTCCCATCAACGATATTAAAAACTATCTTTGCTTCCCCTAGTTATTGTTATCCTTAAAATGTAGGTACCAATAATTTTATAATATCCTTGTTAATATTTACAAGGGAGATCAGGACCACAGTTTACATTTTCTTGTTGGATTTGCATAATCGTCGCGAACATCAAGCACGCTTAATGACTGGCGGGGCTGCTTGAAAAAATAATTAAAGCCGGCGTTTAATTTGCCACGCCCGTCTTGCCGCCATGCAGCTCGCCACTCAATTAATTTCCACACCTCGTAGCACTAGGTTCACCTATGTAGAAACAAATAAATTATGGGCATCCATCACATACCACGTAGCTCTGATCCAATGGAAAGTTACTGAAGCGCTTGTGTCATAGAAGAAATCAGAATCAAACCAGATTCGAGACAATATGGAAAAGTAACGATAGCAGTATCTAACTAAATTATCCCGACAAGGAATTGAACTAGAAACCTAAGAACCGAGGCCAACGTCAGTTACGATGCTATGGAGGTCGAATTAAAGCGAAAACAATTTTGGAGAAAATCAAGGTTGCATAAAATGTCTTATCGAAACGAAAAAGATTGTCGGTAGAATCGCTTCTACGTATAAAATGTAATCGGACAAAGGAAACATCGAAAGATTCTGTATACTTAAAGCATTGCAGTATCTTTGAGGCAGATTCTTATACATCTGTCTGTGTAGGTGGAGGTAATACGTCTTTGATCCTCTTTTAAAGGTTTCTTTGACCGAGGATTTAGCACATCGAGATTGGAATAGCTAAACTTAAGGTTTCACATTCAGGACGAAGTATCAGGCTCGGCTATAATCTTTGGCTCGGGCATAGCCAAATATTTTCTACACCTTTTAATGGTGTGTCGGCACTGATTGAATAAATTATTAACTTTCTACGTTTTAATTCCCGTATCATTACTACTTGTATGAAGAAAAGCTCTATGTTAAAATTTTTGAAATTAATTTGTTGATGAATGGTGATATTATTTGTAGCTGGTTACAAGGCCTTCCGGAGGGATTTGACAAAGTATTTAATATTAATTTTACCCAAGATTTCCTCCGTCATTAAGGTATCGTCATCGTAATTAAACGAGAATGATCAAATCGCGCAAATTATGGTCGTACTAGCCTGCGATGAGCTCGAAGCGTGTTGGTTAGTTTCGCAATAGCTGGTCAAACCGTGCGGCACGGTAAACCATTGGTACCGGCTGTATCTGAAATATGTAATGTAGCGTAGAGGTTCATGGCCCAATCTTCATATTCCATCACTAAGACATAAAGGAAGCTTATGCCCAAGTTACTAGTGAGAACATTAATAGGCTGATGATCTTGATAGCAAACCCCCAATTAAACGTAATAATGTCATGATGAAGTGGATGTTCCCGTTATGTGATTTAATTTGCTTGAAGAAAGTTCGTGCCAACTAGAGGTGATCGCATAGTCGCGTCCAGTTAGGAAGGTGTCTTATGATTATTGATTATTCTTATTATGATTATCCGATACACTTATGTGTATCGGATAGGAAATGGATCGGTAGTGCTTAAACGCAATCTGATCAGTATTCTTTGAAAATCTATGGAGCATTGCACACTTATCAGCTACATGATGGTATCTCATCGACTCGAGATGATTTAGGAGATAAGTATTGTGTTTCAAACTTAATGACGGCTGTGAAGTTTGCGCAAGTCTCGGCGCAGTTAACGCAATGTTGGGTGATATAGGCGCGCGCGGGATGTCACTGAGATTAAACCTGGCTTAATGCGCTTGTTGCTAACTTCACAACCGCCATATAGTTTGGATTGCACTATACAGATCCGTTTCCGGTGCAATATTACGTTCGTAAACCTTTGGTCTCAGTGCCAACCAAGTAAAGTATGCTATGCCATATATCTGTGCGTTGTTCCAGAGTAACTACACCAAGTTCCTGAAGAACCTGCACACAGAGCAGATCGCGAAGCTCCATGCGAAAAATCAGCATGAGTGCGACTTGCTGGAGGACTTGCGCACTTACACCATCAAGCGATCCGCCATCGAGAAATCTTATTCAGAGGTAATCCATACTAATAGTAGTACTATCACTGCCGTACTCATAGTCGTCAATTATTTTTTAAGTTTCGTCAAACGTAGATTCTTTCACTTTCTATGTGATGGCATTAGAATGAGAAAACATGTCACTTTGACAAGCATTGAAAGGACAATGCTAAAATTGGCCTAAGACACCAATTTGGCATTTATGATAATTCTAAATACATTTTTTGGGATAATTATCAGTATTTAGATTGTGACGGACACTTCCAGTTAAGTAAGGTAAATTAAAAAGTTAAAAAATAATCTGAGTCAATAAATATCATTTTATGTGTATAGTCTATGACACCGCTGCAAACAAAACACTCTTTCTTCCTTATGCCGGCACTTTACTTGGCTATTCGTATTTGCTATTTTGAAAACATGACATCAGTCTGTTCTTTTCATTCCTTATTAAGCATGACAAGGACAAACTGTTGTCAAGTGAAGGGCCGGCATAAAACTCGATAATCTGTGGTTGTTGTGCAAGCAGGCAGTTTGCATCTGTGGCATTCGTGCATTCCAAAGAGTATAATATACAGGAAAGTGCATTCTCGTTTCGGATTACCTGTTGTGTGTGTTTATTTGCGATTGTTTTTCCTTTAATTTAACTATTTCGACTATCTAATATGCCATCGATGTTACCAAAGAGCTAAGACCTTATTACCAAGTGCTAGTGAACCTGTGCCACAACATCCTGAGAGGATCATACTGCCAAATTATTCAAGAACACCTGATACACATTCACGCTGCATATTTACACAATATACATGTGATATACAAATAAATACCATATACAATATTGTTAAAAATAGTCAATAAATAAGAAGCAAAACTACAGTTTTTATTTTATTCATGATTCCTACCTGTCCAAGGTTTTCCTAATAGTTATTCTTTAAAATCACACCGAATAAAATGAATTAGTTGTAATATTAATTCACTTCATACTAAGTTCATAGGTTGACCTATGTTTCATTGAATACTAAACATAACCTCAAAAAACATTTAGTTTTTCTAATAATTTAAGTTCTCAGAAGTGTCCGTCAATAATCTTTGTTTTTACAGTCATTTACTTACGATTTCGAACCTAGAAAATAATATTTCATGATTGTTGGTTCTTAGGCTAACTATGTATGGACGCTGAACAATGTCCTTTGTTGTGCATTATAAAAATCTACGAGAGTTAAGGCTTTCGGATTGTGATTTTCATAGCAACTTTCAGTCCAAGATGTCCTTCCTATTTTTGACCAAGCTGAGGTGACCAAAATGTATCATCTCGATTTCATTCCTTCCATGGAAGGAACATTAAGCCGTTGGTACCAGCTAGAACTGCAGTCGTTTTAGAACCCTCCAATCCATACTGGGTCCACGTGGTAGTCACAATGAAAATTTTAATGCCGAAAATTGTTTATTATCTGTTCCGTTAGACGTCTGAAGTCCATTATGGGGGAGAGTACATCGTTTTCTTTCCGTTGTCCGTCGCAGTGCAATTACACTCGCGGCTCGTCTCGTGGCTCGTCTCGTGGCTCGGCTCCAGGATCGCGCGAGCCGGCCATGAGACGAGCTTACTTACTTGTTGTTACTTGTTGAGGGCCCCCGTTTCCGCACGTAGACTCATAATTGGTCCATTGTGCGTGCAGGGTTGATTGGGCTAGCTAGCTCAGCCAGCCCAGCTCCTTCCAGAAGCGCAGTAGTCTCCTGGGACTCTCACAGGCTTCTAGGAGCGTCCTCGGCGTCCCAAGGATTGATGCCCGGTGTTCTGCCACACTCATGTACTCCAGGATCACATGAGCGGCCGTTTCATCTGCTTCTAGACATCCTCTGCACAGAGAACTATCTGTAACACGTATGGTTAGTAAATGATAAGCATTAGCAGGCAATGCCCTGTTATAGTGCCCAGCATTACTCGGAGATCAATTCGGTTAAGATTTAGTAGTTTTCTAGTTAGTCTTGGGTTGAGGCTAGGGAAGATAGCCTTAGATTGCCTGCAGCCCTCGGTGTTGGCCCAGCGGGTGTTATGGCTCTGTATGGTTTGCTGGCGCACCCATGTACGAATTTGGTTACAGGGAAACGGCAGGAGCGGCGCAGGGCCTTCCACTATATGTGCTGATCCCCTTTTAGCCAGTACATCGGTTGCGTCATTCCCCATAGAGCCGCTGTGTCCCTTGATCCATTGGAGGATAACCTTGTTCTCTCTTGCTATTCGCTCCAATGTTAGGTGACATTCGTATACTAGCCCAGAAGTTTTGCTGTTACTGTATAGGGCTCTTAGGACAGCCATACTATCAGATATTATGCGTATCTTATAGTTCGTGACTTTCCTGTTGATGACGGCGGTGGCGGCCTGAGTAATAGCTATACATTCACATTGGAATATTGAGCTGTGAGTACCCAGTGCGGTTGATATATGGATGTTAAGGTCTAGGGAGAATACTCCAGCGCCTGATCCGGATCCTGGTATTTTGGATCCGTCAGTGTATATGCGCATTTCGTCTGTGCCGGACCAGTCCTTGTTGGCTTCCTGTAGTTCTATTTGATATTTCTTATCAAATGTGTGTATAGTCGGGATTTTGTCACAGCGGGCTATTACAAGGGGTTGGTGTTGTATAGCCCTTTCCAAAATCTTGGAGTGAGGTCCCTGGTATCCCGTCCATAGGCCCAGGTGGTACATTCTTAGCGCTGCCATTGTTGCCTCTTGCTGTATGAACAGATCAAGTGGCAATAGGTCTAGCGCTATTTCTAGGGCGTTTGTCGGTGTGGATTTCATGCAGCCTGTAATTGCTGAACATGCAAGTCTTTGAAAACGCTGCAGTTTGTTTTTAACGGTGGCTAGTTCGGTTCTAGGCCACCAAACTATTGCACCGTAGGTGATGAGTGGTCTGATTATGGTTGTGTAAAGCCATTTTGTGATTTTTGGTGCTAGACCCCAGGTTTTACCGAGTAGTCATTTGCACTGCTAAAATGTGATGCAGGCTTTGTTTATCTTATGGTCTAGGTGACTGTTCCATGTCAACTTATGGTCAAGGATTATGCCTAGATATTTGATCTCGTGACAGTTCCGTGTTAAATAACTTGGGTAATTTAACAGTATCCAAATTACGTTTCTTTGTGAACATGACCATCTCTGTTTTGGTCGGATTCACCGATAGTCGGTGTTTAATACACCAGTTTTCGACTAGTTTGAGAGCATTGCTCATCAAGTTGCACAGCACATTCTGGAATGGCCCGATTATGAGAATCACTATGTCGTCTGCATAGCCTACTGTGTGGTAGTTGCGTTGATTGAGCTGGCAAATTAATTCATCCACCACAATATTCCACGAGAGAGGAGACAGGACTCCTCCCTGTGGGCAACCCCGAGCCACTACGGCTCTCTTCGTAGTGTTCACAGTCACTTGTACTGCCCTATATTTGAGCATGTTGTTGATCCATCCCGCAGTTGTGGAGTCAACGCCATGTCTCACAAGTGCTTGGCTAATGCTGGTAAAGTTAGTTTTGTCGAAGGCGCCTTCAATATCTATAGAGACTCCCAACGTTGATTGTTTTGGTAATAGTCCGCTTTCTATTTGCTTGACTACGTTATGTAGTGCGGAGTCAGTGGATTTGCCCATGCTGTAGGCATGTTGATTTGCATGTAGTGGTATTCGCTGTAAGGCATCATCCCTCAGATCTCTGTCACACATCCTCTCCAGTACCTTTAGGAGAAACGATGTGAGACTTATTGGTCTGTATGTCTTAGGTTGCGTGTAGTCACTTTTGCCTGGTTTTGGTATGAAGATGACTTTCACCTCTCTTCATTTGGTGGGTGTGGCTTCATTCATGTACCGATAAGCCAGGCATCCCGTATAGATATGTAGAAGATGGTCGAGTATCGACTCACCACACCATTGCAGTAGGCCTAGAAAAATGCCATCCAGTCCTGCTGCTTTCAATGGGAGAAAGCTTTTGATGGCCCATATTAATGTGTTGGGTTTTATGATTTTGTGTGCAGTTGCCCAGTCAGCTGATTCCGGGTTTGCAAATGTTTCATCTTCCCATTCTTGGTTGTCTTTAGTGTTACAGCCTGGGAAGTGAGTCTGCATCAGTACTTCACAGGTTTCAGCGTCAGTTTTTGTATAGGTGTTATCGGCTTTTTTGAGTGAACCTAAGTTGCGTTCAGGGTCGCTGCTTAGGATTTTCTTCACTCTTGCAGCTTGATTATTGTCTTGGATGTCGCTACAGAAGCGCTTCCAGCATTCAGCTTTCCTGAATCGGATGCACTTCTTGTACCGCGACTGTGCCTTCTTGTAGCGAATCCAATCGTGTTCTAGTCTGGTGTTTTTAGCTCTGTTGAACATTTTCCTTACCTTGTGTCGCAATTTAGTTAGTTCAGGACCCCACCAGTTGTGTTTACTTTTAGCTGTTGAGCGTTGCTGTGTGAGTGGGCAGGATTGTTCATAACAGACGATTAAGCTTGATGTTAGATTATTCACGTGTGGTTCTATTTCCATAGGGTTATTATAAACCTCTGGTAAAAGGAGACACTTCAGGCTGGCCGTAGCTAGTGAGCTAAATTTTTTGCGGTCGGTCTTACGTGGAATTCGTCGTGGGTCTGGTGGTTTAGTGTTCATGTGAAGGTGGAACCTAATCCATCTATGATCCGAGCAAGATGCTTCGTCTGATACATGCCAATTAGTGATGAATTGGGCAATTCTCTCACTAGTGAGGGTTAGGTCGATAATTGTCTGGGCCCTTGATGTTCAGAGAGCTTTTGAGACGAGCTTATGTTTACACTCTCGCGGCGTGCTCATTTGTTATTGACCTTTCAACGATGGCGGATATCGATATATTATTAACAGTATCGACTCTAAGTTTAGTGAGCTTTTACTACTACGCACGTAATTTACAAAGTTGCCATGGGCGATTTTTTTTTGGCTTTCAGATTACCCACTCCCTTTAGTTTTGCCAACTCAAACGGTGATGAGCTACACACGCAATGTCGGTAAA